CACACACACATCGACGCCCACAACATGTATACGCAATTAATTATTTAAAGCCCAATAATCAGGCGATGTTTTTGGTTAGGGCCGGGCCAAGACGAGACAGGGGACATGCTACACACGCTGCCCACAAAGTACACACGATTACAATTAAAACTTACAAGGCGTCGAAATGTATACACACAGACGAACACAATTGATGCTGTGGCACGCCCATTGCCGAAATGCGCAACTAGCCACGGCTGTTGTTGTTGTTGTTGTTGTTATTGTTGCAAGTTTATGAGCCGCACCGCCCGTTACATTCGTCATGCGGCCATTTTGTGTGTGGCAAGATGTAAACGCGGCAGACGAGGCAGCAACATTCCTGCTTATTGTTATGAGCGACCAAGCGACCAATTACGTTGCACGCACACACACACACACACACAGACACATACATAGAGCTGTTGTTTTGGCGATTTACCGAATATTTGAAGCGAGTGGCAATAATTTCCAAGCGGCGCCCCATTTAATGTCTACAAACAATTAGAACTTCTCTTTCTTTTTTCTTCTTAATTTTTACTTTTTTTTCTTTCTGTGATGTGCGGTTTTTGTTTGCAGGTTAGAGCAAAAGCAATGTGCCCCTCATCCCCATTCCCCCATCTCCCTATACCCCGCAATCTCGCTGTTTGCTAACGCCGCTTTAATTTAACAACCAGGACCAAGCGTTTCCGTTTGCGTCCTCACCCATTGCTCCAGTTGGAGCATTGGCTTGGCGGTCGCCTTGCTCATTTGCGCTATGTCCGCCAGCAGCCTCATTAGTCCTGCCAGCTCCTGTGCTGCCCAAAGTTGCCCGTTGTGCAGGCAAAAGCAATTCAAAACAACCATTTTTTTTCCGCTGTTTCTTTTTTTACCGAGCTTTTCTGCTTTTCTGCTTTTATTTTTTTTTATTTTTATTTTTTTCATTTTTTTCCTTACAATTTATGCTCTTGCTTGTTTGTTGTTCTTGTTGCTTCCTGTTCAGTGTGTGCGAGTGAGTGAGTGTGTGTGTGTGTGTGCGCTGCGCTCAGTGGGCAGTTTAGGTTATATTGCCAGCCAGGAGATGCGGTTTGCTCGACAGTTTGCCAGACACTTGCCGGGCAACAAATAAGCAGCAACAGCATTCGTGTTGCGACAGAACAAAAGAAAGTTGCAAAAGCTGACTTTTATTTCAGGCATGATTTGTGAAATGCATCCAAATGCCACCAAGTGAGATATTGCATGTGCATAGCTTGCAACAAATATGCACATGTCAATAAATATTTTTAACGTAACCTCAGAAGTATTAACAAAGCTGAAAAAAAAGATATATAACAAAAAGTCAGTGGTTTACCAAAAAGGTGGCCAAAGTGTAAAATAATTCTTCATTTGTTTTTTTTTTTTATAATGTTAGGCCAAATTGACTGCTTGCGTTCTACTCTATATTAAATCATAAGCTTCTTGGGATGTTAAGCAAATTATATAAATTTATATTCATTTTAAATGATTTTTTTTTACATAGATATTTTGTACTAATTACTATACTTGCGCTGCAGTATTCGACAAACCAATGGAATCAATGGAATCAATTGTAGCTCAACAACTGGCAACGGCGACAGCAAAAGCCACCGCAACAGCAACTGTAATACCCTTGACACTCTGAGACCAGTCACAACATGTTCAGGTTACATGCACACACACACACGCACACGCACAGGTATGGGTCGACCAAATACGTGATAAAAATTATGCTACATGCAACTTGTAAGCAATAAATCTTCGATTTATTACAAAATAATTAAAATTAATGAGTAAAAATTGAAAATACGCACGTGTCGCTTCAATATAATTATGTTTGTGTATATATATGTGTGTGTGTGTGTGTGTGTGTGGGGGTGTGTGCGTGTGTGCATGTGGTCTGACTGTAACAAACAAAAATTAAAACCATAAACTTGGACAATTGGTTAGAGCTATAAATTACATACAAGTCTCTGGTGTGGCAAGGCTCTCTACTGATGCTGTGGCTAACAGCATGGCTTTGGTGCGTGTTGATTTTCTCGATAAGAGTTGGGTGTGTCGGTGTGTCGGTGTGTGTGTGTGGGTGTGTCTCTACTATGCAAAGCTAAATGGTGCTTTGCGTTTCTTGTTGCAATTGCTAGATAGGTATGCGTGTTATATAAGCGCGTTTCCGTTTCCGGCAGCAGCAGTGCAAAATGGCGCTTTGCACGTTACACGCGCCCCGCGCGAACAGTGTGAGTATTTACCGTTATGCACGCATTTTAATTGCTGTATTTGTACGGAGCAGTGTACATTGCTGCCATATTTGCCCTTTCTTGTACACGAGTGTGCGTGTGGGTGTGTCTGCGTGTGTGTGCGTTGCGGTCATGTTGTGCTAATGATGCATGCATATTTTATCATGAGTTGCATGTGCTTTTTTTTTTTTTTGTTTGTTTCGTGTATAATACATAAGTTTACATTAAGTACAGCTTGCTCTTTTCATTTTAAGGTGAAACGAACAGGGTTTAAAATTTATCGACATGCATTCACATAGATTGGAAATGCATCGAATGTTAAACTGAATAAGGATTTCTTCCATTTTACCATAGCTAGAGAGCTTCCCAGTACTTCTGGGTATTATACATATATGTCAATTTTGATGTCAGCATTACATTTATACAGGATGGTATATCCACGCCAATATCTGAGTCTGTTCAGTGCGATGTGTTCATCATCGTATTATTTGAATTATTTGTTGTGGCCTTGCTACAAACGTAAATTCATTTTCTTTTAATTTGTTAAAATTACGACGAATTCATTGCCAACATTCCTGTTGTAATGATGTACATTAATTTTGCGATGAAATGAATTTTAATCACATTTCTCATTTATTATTAATAATTATGAATAATTATTTTTTGTTGTGTGCATTTTGGAGAATGAGATTTGATAAACGCAGCATATAATAAACTAAATATTATTATCTAATTAAATGAATCTCTCTTGAAAATGTCCAATATATATATATGTATATGTAGTATATTCTGACTATTTTCTTTTATCAATATATACACGATATACATATAGTTGAGTACTTACTTGAGATTGGCTATACCCCAAGTCGAGCAGAGGTTTTCATAATATTTTGTTTTATTTGCATACTTTTTTTAATTTTAATTTATCAAATAAATTTGCCGACAATTGCAGCAGCAGACACAGCAAAAGTGCATTTCAATTTGCAACGGTATTCATTAAAGTTGTTGATTGATGTAAACTTTCAATACATTGCTGCCATGTAACGCACAGTTAATTTGATTACATTGGAAAAACTCCATTACTACGGAAAAACAGCAAGAAATGCACAGTTTGCTATTCACAACGATTGGCAACATTTTTGTTTTTCGTAAAATATAATAAAATATTGTCCAAAGTAAATATTACTAGAGTTGACTTTAAATATTTTTTCTTTATCGATATTTTAATTATGAAGCTGCAGTCAGTTAGCAAAGCAAACTTGGAAAAAATATATATTTGGAAAAATGAAAAAGTCTCAAAATGTGGCTTTTTCAGTTCGCTCTATGATATTTTAGCAAATCGATACTTGACAAAACTATTTGCCGTATCTTAAAAGCTGTCAGCACAGGCTAAACAGACCGAGTCGTGTAACAAACACAAATAATCAATATCGATATGAAGTACATTTTTTGTGTATCCTTTTGACAGTTTGACAAAACGAAGATATCATACTGGATAGTTGTCTGTGCGCAGGTTAAAGAGTGATATGAGATTTCCGCAAATCTTCAGATTGCTATTTACCTTGCCTCGTGCTCCACAAATATATACATATATGTATCTATACATATATATTTTTGTGTTGGATGGTTGCACATATTTGCTAGACCAATGGTCAGTGGCCAGGCAAAAGTGCAAGTGCGAAAGCAATATCAACTTTCAAGTACAGCAAGGACAACACTCAAATTGAAGAAACCACAATCAAAACCAACAACCAAAATAGAGCGCTCAAGTAAATAACAAACAAAACAAAAAAAAATAAAAGCCAATAAGCTCAATGTGAAAAACTTAATTGAACGGATTCGATAGATGGAATTGAGAGTTGCGAGATTTTTCATCACGTATATACATATACATGTATATATGTATATGACTAATAAATATGGGAATGTGAAATACTTTCAATCATGCGAAATGATTTTGTGTTTTCCGCAAGGCTTTTTCAGTTATGCTCTCAGAACAAAGAACCACTGAGGGATTAGGTTTGCGGGAATAGTGCTTAAATCCCATTATGATTTAAATGAGAATTCACAGAATTCACAATCGAGATGACAGCTCTGGCAGCAAAAGTGATTGATAAAGGTAATGCCAGTGGCAGCTTAATAAAATCCCAGTCTGTTATTATTTACAACCAACTGTAATTAATTATATATCCGATTGATTGAGCACAATGCGCAACTTGCCGCCCATCAGCCTGGCGATTCGCTTAAGGGCATGGTTGTAATGCAAATCGGTTGCAATGTTGCAACGTTGGCATCGCCCTGGCAATCGCGATTGATCTTGCTGCTAGCATCGATCAGGGTTGGCAGCGTCGAGTAGCCAATGGAGACGCCCATCATTCGGGAAACGCACTCCGCGATCAGCTCAAAGATGTGTGCCTGCGGATCATCCGCAGAAGCCCTTCATTGCCACAATGCAATTCCGGTGTGATAAGATCATAAGATATTTGTATTAATTGGTTATATTTATGTTTATTCTTAAGCAGTATCTTTTCATTAATAGTCAACCGGGTATCCAGTCTATATACTTTTGTCCATTTATCTGGCTGTCTGTAAGCCTAATTTGTATCTACCTTAGCTCAGCAAAATTCTTTGATATTCGTATCTTCAATTCTATCAGGCTATAAGCTTTGAATATATAAATTTTAATTCATTTCTTTACTATCCATCGTATGATCTTATTTCTAATCATCATTAACTTTATCGTCTCGATGTACTTACCATATTTGCTGTGCCTGCCAGTCTTAACAACTTCGGCAAAGGGGAGAATTTGGACAACGGCCTCCGGTTGAATATTGTGCAGCTGATTCCCCATGTAAATGATGGTGTTGACATTGGTGCATTTTTCGAGCAGTGCCAGTGGTCACACCCGTTTCCGTTATACTCGTACAGTGTCCAATGCCATTGTCGCCCAGCGTTGTACATACTGTAACAATGGGCACTGAGTGCTTGAGGCAGCCCTGGGCGGCAAACATCCACTCAGCGCGCGTCTCCGCAAAAATGGCAATATTTTGGCCAGGTGCCTGGCCCAATTCGCGTAGGCCACGCCCAAAATTGGCCGCCACACATTCGGCCTCCGTGTAGCTGTTCCATGTGTAGTTGCCCATGTTTTGGCCATTTGGCTGTAGTTCGTCATCCTCGCTGAGTATTTGCCGTGTGTCCAGTCACCGCTTGCTCGCATACGTTGTGGCCACATATTTGAAGACCTTCTCCAGTGTATTGATGTTTTCCTGCAGCATCTTCACGTGCACCGCTTGCGGTGGTTTCGTTCATCGATCGGTTTTCGGACCCGCATTACCCATTATCATTCTTGCCTTTATGCGTCTCGAGTCCTGTGCCCGCTTTCACGGTGTCTGCAATACGAAATATATCGGTGCACTTATAATATCACATATGAAAAGCCCTGCCTTGATGGCGCACACTGCAACCAGTGGTTCAACATGATAATGCAAACTTATACATTTTTTTTAAATAAATTTAATATATTTTTTTTTAGCCTGGTTATCAGTTCACTTCAATTTTATTTTAATAAGATCGAATAATATTTTTACTAGCAAACGAACACAAAACTACTCAGCATTTTTGCAGTTTCGCGAGGTTTTCTCTTATTTTTATAGGGTCCTTTTTCAAAATGGTAATCACTAGTCACAAAAACACCTAAATTTTTTTAACAACCAAATTAACTCAATAAACATACTATGTTCCTTCAATATATTTGAAACTGTGCGTTTTTTGCCTGCTCTGTTAAAGCCGCACTAAGCGAAAATTAAATTCGCTAAAGCTAGTGGTTGAATCGGCTTTGAATATTGAATATGAATATCTATTAGCTATTTCGAAGTATAAATTTGTATCAGTATTGAATCATTGATTGTAATTATTTTGTATTGCTAAAAATATTTGAGAAACAAATTAAATCATCAGAAGCACTTACTAAAATGCTTACATTAAATTCATCATTCTATATATAAAGAGAACAAATTATTTTTGTTTGCATTGCTAAGGTAGCCGAATTAAGGGCGCATTTTGAAATCAAATACCCCATAACGAAAGTTGAGGAAAACTTTGAGTTTCATATGCCAATTATTTTTATTTTTTGGTTTGTTTGCCTCGATAAGTTTGCAAAATTAAAAATTGAAATAAATACGGAATGCGATTAACTAACAAATGATGTTCAATCTTTCGTCCTAAACAAATATATTTCTTTTTAAAAATAACGCTGACTGCCTCACTGTCTGCCGGCATGGCTTTCCTTCTTCTTGTACTCCTACTACATCTCATTTGCACCCTTCAGTTTGCCCCTTCCACAACGCAACGTGGCCGAGGCAAGCAAATTATGTGAGCGAAAAGAAACTTTCAAGCAACTCCCATAAGTATGCAATACATTTTGCTGTATTCCGTTCGCTGTGCCTGTGCTTTAAAGCAGCAACATAATGAAATGGCGCCCAATACACACACACACACACACACACACACGCACAGCATCCCCGTCTTGTTTGGAGCACGTTCGCAGTGGGGCTGCTTTGAAATGTTGTTTTGTATTATAAACAAATTCACACGTTTCGAACATCGAATTTCGAACTTAAGCCGAAGCAGCTTCGCGCATTTCTCTTATATGTCTGAAGAGAACCGAAGCATTTGCCATTCTCTTTGGCTGAAATTCGTTCTCTCGTTTTGAATGTGCACTTAATGCGAACCAGCAAATTGCTGAAGGGCAGAGAGAGTGAGAAAGAGAGAGAGAGAGAGAGAGAGAGAGAGAGATAGCTAGAGATAGGTTAGACAAAGAGAGTTGCGCACAAAGCACATGCTAATCAAATTACACATTAGTAATTTTTCCTTGGTTGTTGTTGGTATTGTTTGTTTGTTATTAGCAGCAGCGCGCTTTTCCGACTACATTTTGTAGATCCAACTTCCGGTAATTGGCAATTGCAATTATCACAGCTGGCTGACAGACCGTCTTGGCCCAATGTCAATTACAGACGCTGCGAGCACTTAATTGCAACAAATAAATCATAGACAGCAACATTTGAGAATGTGGCAAGCAACACAACACATCGTGTTCGTTTGTGTTTGACTCACAGATACCCTGTGCCCATCTTTCTCAACGAAACGAAATTCTGTAAACGCCCAGGATATTCAGTTCACTAAGCAGAGCATTTTTTTTATATATACTCTTGCTTAAATCTCTACAATTATTTGCTTACTTGCAAGCTTTTGTTACCTTTCAATTTCATAATTATCAAATGCGTAAATTTCGTAGAAAATATTGTGACATATGCTGATTATTAATTATCATAATTATTATAATCATTAATAAATAAAAACGATCAAAAGAAGATGAGTTTTAATGCTGCATAACGCTCGATAATTATCATAGTTGCTTATCGATTATATTCGATATTCCAAATAACAGCATTTCAAAGTAATAACTTTGAGCAGAGGCTGGCTTATTAGTAAGGAACATATACAAATCAACTCTATGCAGAGGCTGTCATATTATTAAAAAAAAAACACTTAAGGCCATTTGCTTTTAAATACTTTTGCACTTCGATATGAAAAGGGTATTCGATGTGCGGTAGGTTAGAGTTTGTTTTATTGCAGCCGCATTGTTTATTGATGTTGTGCCTGTGTTCGTGAGTAAAATGTGAAAAATATTATTGGTGGGCATCGTTGACCGCTGTAGTGGACACAGAGAAACGGGTGCCTGCGTGTGTTTCAGCTGCGTTCCGCACATAAATGTCAAGTGCCCGTGTTGCTCATATGAAACTCACGTTCTCACACATGACTACGTACGCAGCACACACGCAAGTTAAGTAGCATTATATATATATATATTTAATACATACATATGTTATATATATCATATACATATATATACAGTTGCGGTCAAAAAAATTGCATTGCTGTTTCTCAATGCATTTCATAAAAATTTAACTCATTTTATGGTGATAATAACGTAAAATAACGGTTTGGTGTCTCGTCTGGGAATGTTTTAAAATAATATTAATTTTACAAATACTAAACGTAGTTAAATATATTCACTAATCAAATCTAGTTCTTAGAAATATTATTTAGTAAGCTGAGATATCTTCACTATTATTATAATGATAAATTTCAATAAAATATAATAAAAATAAATTTAAGAATTATAAATTTGGGGACTTTAATTTGTTTTTTGATATTATTTACTTATATATTTATTTATATTTACTTATCATCAGTATTGATTGCTGTTGTTTAAATAAAATGTTCAGAATTACTTAGCTATATTTTTAAAGCATTATTTGACAACATTTACCAAAATACATGTGAGCACGACTATTATTTTGACCACAGAATATAATACCTATACTCGCTATCAGACTCATGTGAATGGGCACACAACGCGAGAAACATTCGTCGATGATGAATGCGCATAAAGTCGCCATAAATAACATTTTTCGGCTCAGACATTTTCGTCTTGTTTGTTATTGTTATTCGTGTTTTTGTTGGGGCGTTGATATTATGCCGGAAACGAAAATCTCACGCTCCAAAAGTTTAAATGACTTAATTCGCTTGAATTTGCGGAGCGCCTTCAAGTGGGCGTGTCCCGTCCGCATATCCTTGCTATTGCCTTGCGCCTCAATTTGTAGGCGTTTACCTATTGATTTTTGCTATGATTTTCTGCACGTTGTTTTAAGCTCTTCATAATTGTTTTTCCCTTTTTTCTATTCGATTGCGGTTTTTATACGAGTTTGCTATCCGCATTTTTTTTTTTGGTTTTTCCGTAGTGTTGTTTTTGGCGGTCTTTTTTTTTTTTTTTTGGTTCTTGTTAGGTGAGAAGTGATTGTGTGTGTGTGTGCTGACCTAAATGTGTGTGGCTGAGGCGGAAGTGCGCTTCACTGTCACCGTCTCAATTTATGTTTGCCCAGCGACGAACTTGTGTTCTTTTTTTTTTTTGGCCAAACACATCGCAAAAGTCTAACACGAGATCAAACAACTGCAATGCTGAGAAAGTAACACTTAAATTTGTAACAAGCGACAATTGTTAATACTTATCTAGAGAATGCAGATATACTTAATGGGCTTGGATATGCTATTTGTTCTCTTTTTTCCTATTGGATCAAATAGTGCTCAAACTGAAAGCATTGCAAATTCCAAATTATTTTGAGTTGAGCTGAAATGTGACTAATAATATGGCGTAACCGGAACCAAAACAAATACCAAATTTGTTTAACTCTGGATCACACCTGCCTATGCCGAAAGCCGTTCCGGCGAAAAACTAATCTGCTTAGCATCCAACATGCTTACACCTTAACAAAGCTCGTTTGGATCAGACAAGTGTCAGCGCTCCGGTTTTACTGACATTCGTTGTAGTCGCGATGAAAGAAACTTCCAGTTTATCACGCTCCCTTTTCACTTGCTTTTTTGTTGTTGTTAGTATTTCCACTTTTGCTTTTTTTGAAAAATGCTGCTGGTTGCGCCACACAGAATTTGGTAAATAAAATGAAATGCGTCGACATTTTTGCACTGCGTTGGGTGAGCTCAAAAAAATGCAGCTAGGCAGACTAGCAGCCCGGTAAAGTCGGTAAGCTCAGGGGGCAGATCGTGGGCGGCAGAGTCGGCGAAGGCGTGGCCGGCTTTAACTTATGCAAATATGCGCGACTAGGCGAATATGTAGGGCACATGGAGTCTGAATAACAAAATAACAGAATCAGAATCAGAATCACAATCGGAATCAGAATCGGAATCACA